ATTATACTAGTAATTATATCTTATAGCTAACCCGTATTTAAGTTATTAGATATATTAGAAATTAATATAAGATACTAAGATTAATACTTATATATCCTTAATATTTTAGCCTTAGGCTTAAGGTATTATAATAGCCCTTTTCTTTCCTAACTTACTAAGCTAATAATCTGCCTTATAGATATTTCTTAGAACTTTATAAGAGTATTACCTTAATTATAAAGTTTCTATTCTTCCTATATTACTTATTATAAAATATATAAGAGAGAAACTATAATAAGATAAAAACTTATATAAAGTATACTAGAGTATAAAACGTAACTTAATAGTAAAATAATAAATTAAAAGTATAAATAGTAAAGTATAAATAGTATATAGTATATAAAAGCTTAATTAATTAAATATTTATAAAGGATTATTCTCTAAGTCTATAGAAAAACCAGCTTTCTTATATGATTTCCGCAAGTTACATATAAAAGGCCGCAGCCTTTACCATGTGACCTAAACCTCAAAACCGCCAAAACAATATGATTTTTGACGAGTACGGCCTGCCGTACCACAGTACTCTGACCCCAGAGTTAATAGCTTCTATTAGCCTGAGACGTACCATACCCGTTTCGGGATTAATAGCATTGCTCTCTGAGGATAATGCTCTCTATCTAGCCTGCCACTTTGCAGTGTCCTGCCTAGTAGCTGTGCGGTTACTACTACTGTCTGGCTGCTCCGTATTACTCCCAGAATACGGATATAGCTCATATTCCCTTAATGTATTTAATAAGAACCGCATATGGCATTTGTCTAGGTCGGAAGTCATTCTGAGTATATGTAATATGGCAAGAAGGGTCCTGAAGATTTCATTAGTTAGAGAGAATAGGTCCAAGGGCAGCCTTCGACTTATACCTCTTATAGGGAGGATTCAAGGACCAAGACGGGAGACCGACAAGAGCCAGAATGGGCTCCTATATTGCTATTTATAGTATCGCAAGTCAACTTCGATAAGGAGTAGATTTCCTATTAGAGACGGACTGCTAAGAGATAAGAAATAGTAAGTAACCTCTATTCTTCCCTCAAAGAATAAGATCTTATATATTAATTATCTCAAAATACAATATATATAATTCCTGGAATAGGAGCAATAATAAGAGGCGAAGAGAAGTATTAAATACAGAGGTATAGCTAGTATTAAGCTTAATATACTTCATTTTCTATATAAAGAGTTAAGAGAGCCGGATAAGAATAATATCGAGAGACTAAGAAATTTGTTTTATCGGGAAAGTAGTTACTATTAACTAGACCTTCGAAATTATATTCCTACTATTATTAGCTAGCTATAGTTAGAGGCTACTATAGAAGCTTTTAGAACCTCTACTAAGCAGTTCCTGGAAGATAGATATAATAATTATCCGGAGCTAGATTTTCCGCCCGGTTATTAGTTAGAGTGCCTCTATAGATACTATTAAATACTAGTAATAGCCTAAGTTCTTTCTCTTAAGAATAGGCATTAGATAGTAAACCTATATCTTAAAAATATAATCTCTCTTTTCCGAATTCAGAGAAGCTACTAACTTTTCTTTTCTATTTTAGATCTTAACTAGGAACTAAAGACAACTCTAATTAAAGAGTACTTAGCTAAAAAGGAGCCCGATAATAGCGAGATCTATAGCAAGATCCGTAAATATTAAGAGTATAGGAAAGTAAGGAATCTATACTTCGAGAAATAATAGTAGGCTCGTTTGGCTACTATATTAGACTATAAAAAGGAGAACCTTAAACGGGTCTTCCGTAATACGAATTATAGGGCCGTATTTAATATTTAATTAGATATTCCAGGACTAGTAGGAGAAATAAGGTTAGGTATAATATATATAATATTTGCTATAAAATACTATAAGGTAAGCTCTATATCTATAAATAGTTCGAAAGTACTAACTATACTAAATAGCCAAATCTCTGCTATTTCAATAATACTATTAGCGACTTCTGGACCAGGAAAATCTTTTGTAATAATAGAAAGGCAATATAGAAAATAGATTAAGTAATAGTAAAAGCCTTTAAGCTTATTATACCAGGTACTTATAGGGCGGATTTCCAGGCTCTATATAGCAAAGTACAAAGCGGCCAGATTCTTAGTACTTTTAGTAAAGAAGATTATAAAGATATATAAAGCAGGATACTTTCTACTACTATTAACTACTTAGTTCCTTCTCTCTTTAGCTTCTTTAAGGACCTTAACTACCTCAAAAATATTACTAATAGTATAAAATAATTATTCCCGCTATTACTTTACGGTATAGTCTCCTCTGCTATAAAAGATGCATTCTCTAATACGAACCATAGAGCTAGTTAGTATATAGTCTAAGAAACGGAGTTCTCCTATATATTCTGGCCTAGGAGCTTTATAAACCGGGTAGACCTTAGACAATAATAGATATAGATATTTATAATATATAACTACCCTTAGATACCTATAGAGTTAAAGAAGAAGAACTTGTTAATAAAGCTAGCTAGTAAAAAAGCGGATAAGATTATCCTATATGAGTTTGCTATTCTAGCCTCCTGCTTAGAATATAAGTCTGAGCGAATATATAGCCTAGCCTAGTAATTACCTAATAGGGAGATTGCTTGCAGTACCCTATTAAAGGCTCGGAAACCTGCCTGCTATAAGTATAGTAAAGCGGCGTTTAAGGACTATATAGAGCAAATAGTGAATCTGTTCTCTATAGCCTAGCCAGTAATAGTAAAGCAGGCGAGAGCTATAATAAAGATTAATTACTCTAATATACTACTAAAATAATACGGGATCCTGTATATGCAAGATTACGAACGGGATAAGTTATTCCTTTTCATAGACAGGTTATATAATACCGGCGAGGAATAATACAATGAGATATTGTCTTTCTTTATCTGCAGGTCCGTATATTTTGCATTTTTCGGTAAGCCGAGTCGCCCCACTTCTCGTTCTCCTAAAGAGGTATTGCTATTGGATACTCCAATTTCAGCTCCTCTAGGAGACGATCAAGTAAGAGAGGAGCAGGAGCGGCTTGTACGACAGGAACAAGAACGGCTCGTGCGAGAAGAATAGGAAAGACTTGTACGGGAGGAGCAAGCGAGACTCGCACAAGAAGAGCAGGAGCGGCAAGAACGGCTCGCAAGAGAGGAACAAGAAAGACTGGCAAGGGAGGAGCGGGAACGGCAGGTACAGCTCGCAAGAGAGGAACAAGAAAGACTGGCAAGGGAGGAACAAGAAAGACTGGTAAGGGAGGAGCTGGAACGGCAGGAACAGCTCGCAAGGGAGGAATAAGAGCGATCAGCGAGAGCGGAACAGGAGCGGCTTGCAAGAGAACAGGAAAGTCTTGCTCGAGAGGAGCAGGAGAGGTTGGCGAGGGAGGAACAGGAGAGACTGGCGAGGGAGGAGCAAGAGCGGTTAGCAAGAGAAGAACAAGAGCGAGTTATACGAGAAGAGCAGGAAAGACTGGCGGAGAACCTTACTAAGCAATAGGAAGACAGGCCCAAGCAAAAGAAGCCCGATAAGAACTAGCCAGACAAGGGACCTAAGGTACCAAGAAGTCAAAACGGTATACGAAGAGGTTTCCGTATATCGGCTTTAGCTAAAAGAAAAGAACGGCCACTTATATAACTTGATTTAAAGAAAGTCACTAATAGTAAGTCTTTAGAAGCTAACTATTATTTTGTACTGCTATTATAGGCGTTTAACTTTTTACTAGAAGCCGCAGGAGATCAAGTTAAAGTCAATAATACTAGCTATCCTCTATAGCCTAGCTCGGATTCTTTAGCGGCGAATAACTCAATAGCCTTAGGCAAGCCACTATAACTTGCTTCTGACTCCAGAGAATAAGACCAAGCTATTAAGAGGCCTGTATAAGAGAAGCAGGGAAAACTTATAATGGAAGAAGAGGAGCGGCTAGTAAGGGAAGAGCAGGAGCGGGTTATATATAAAGAGCAGGAGAAACCTGCAGGAGAAGAGCAAGAGGAACCTGTAACTAAGGAAAAGGAAAGGCTCGTAAAGAATATTACTAAGTAATAGGAAGAGAGACTTGGACAAAAAATGTCGAAGGAGAAGACGCAAGACTAGAGTAGACCTAAGGTAGTAGGAAAAGGGGCCCGAAGAGGTATAGGTATGGCGAAAAGGAACCGGCCACTTACTTAGTTCGTATTTGAGACTTTTAGAGATGCCGAGTCTCAAGAACTTATATAAGAAGGTCGATTACCCTAACCTATGGCGAACGAACGTCAAACTACGGCAGACCAAGAAGTCGTCAGAAATCCCACCTATAGTATGTAGTCTGGTACGGATTCTTTAGTAACTAATAATAGCAACTTAATATTTGCCTCAGGTAAGATACTAGATTATGTTACTAACTCTGAAGAACAGATTTAGGCTATTAAGCCGCAGGTAAGGGCTTGAGTTCTCTTTACTTATAGCCAAGCTTATATATCTGCAGACTATAAGACAATCGAGTAACCAGAGGCCAGACCTTCCAAGGGTCCGTATAGAATATAAGATCCGTAATTACGGCATTTGGAAGGTTTTATATATTCTTCTGGTTAATCCTTCCGACCTGTTAGAGGCCAGGCGGGTAGCGATAAAGTATATAAGAAAGCGGATTCACATGTTTAATACAAGCTTTCGTATACTAACACCTCAAACGTGTTTTGAGGATATTACTACAGATGGTACAAATATAATACTTTTGATTCCGGAATGGGATATTAATACGGATAATCTTTCAACGTCTGTATCTAAGGAACGCCCTGGTTTACAGACGAATTCGGAAGCGGACCCGTCTATTCTAGAACCCAATCCAAAGGATGGTTCAGAAAGTGAAGAGACTATTTATAAGAGAGTCGCCAGGCGCGATTCAAGGTGAGTCCCATTTTGGATATAGATCACTACCAGTTCCGGTTGTGTTCTTGTATTCTCTGTTTTCTTGCGCAATTAGAGATTAATATAGAATGAATATTAATTGTTTCTTGTGATATATATTGCAGCTTATATTTGCATCCACTAATAGTCACTAAATAAATTGATATGCCATCCAGCCAGCTGGGAAGCCGATACGAAATGAACCTGATATGAACCTAAAAACCCAAGGTGCGGTAAACAATCTAGAAAATGCCTTTAAAAGTCAATAAGAGCCGCGACCGTAGCTAATTAAGTTTGTTCCATGAGCTTGTCCACTGCAACCTGCGGCTTCCTAAGCCCGTCTCTTTGGCATTATTTCTCCTTGGAACCCGTCCTACCTGCCTGGTCTGCGTATATGATCTTTCTCTTCTTCATTTGCGGCTTATCCAACTTAGCCACATTGTTGATGCAATAATCGCAACGAAGCTTAGAGCTTATTTCTCTACCTTCCACGCTCAACTGAAAGCTGGAATGCGTAGGAAGTCCAGAGAGCGAGAACTCGGAAAAGAAGTATGGCGCTGTCGCGACAGATGTATCTTGGTCGGAAATCGGTTCTTGTGATGTGCTTTGTGGACGTTGACATGGAGGTGTGCTGTCGGATCTAGTACGCAGGCTATCTGCAGAAGTCGGGCTCGATTCAGTAGCCGTCTCAACGGATGTGGTGTTAGCGGTAGACAGCGGAGAAGATGAGGGAGATGACCTGTCCGGGGATGGTGAACATTCTGTCTCGAGTTGCTGTTGTGGGGGCCCAGCTACGACAGAGTGGTCCGTCGGTCTTGTAATAACTGAGCTTGAGTGTGCCATGATTTCCCGACGCATATCTGCCCAAAGACAGTTCTCATCGTGCCTCGCCAGTAGTTGTCTATCTGTGATTACATTAGAAGAACCTACACAATACCCCTTCGCCCCGCAAGAGAAACAGATGACCTCGTTGGGTTTGTCGCTTGGGCTTTTATAAAATCCATTTATTGCCAGCTGCTTGGGAGGGAAACATTCGTAAGGCCATCCGAAGGAGTCTAATCTAGACGAAATCGTGGAAAAGGCTGCTGAAATTCGAACCGTCTTTGACATATTGATTGGCGATGTATGGACGTAGAAGTGAGATGACTTGGTGTCAGAATAATGTCGGTAGAGGATTCGATGCTGCGAAGTGAGACGTAGCGAGGGCGATGACAACGACGATGCCCTGCGGATAGGGGCTATATTTAGTAGTTGGAGCCCGTTTGAACCTCCTCTTGTGTACAGAAGGTTGCGCAATTAAGCAACGAAGTTCTGCCTCAGAAAAGGCGTGCCTGCCATTATGGTGGTCAGCGGCTAATTTTAGCCACCCACCTGGTACACAAGCCAAAGGGATCCCGGTTTTGAGAATGAATAAAAAGTTTCAATACGGAGTAATTTTAGATATGACGTGTACAAATGCAAGATAAGCTGCATTGTGAGGTCATCTGTGTTGGAACCGAATTGGGACCCTCGCTAATCCGAGAATTTTGCATTGGGTCAAAGAACACATTGCAATGCTGCAGGACGTCACACCTTTAGTAGCTAGTGACTTTGCTTTTGGAGCCGCGCTTCTGGGTACTTATTTGGTGGAGGCATCTCGGAAATGGTGTATCGTGTTCGCCATACGTTCGATTTCAAAATATTTCGGATAAGCGCGCACGAGGTGTACAGTTGTAATAATCTAAATAAATATAACTTAATAATAATAAATTATAATAGAACTCTAAAGCCTAAGATTAAGCTAATAAACTCTAAGAATAAATTTCGTCAAAGAGTTTTTCTTTATTAATCTGCAAAAGACTTGGTGGACGTGCTCATATGCAAAGGCAGAAGCCACTCGGCATCAGAATGGGCGCCTCCCAGTAAACATACCACAGATAGCTTTCGCATCCTCTACTAAGGAGGCTGTGGTAGCTATGAAGCTAGGTGGAGCCTGAGGAGGCTTCTGATAGACCTTCGGTGCCATCGTACTGGTAGTAACTGGTCTCGTGAAGGCGGAGAAGGCTGCCGCAGGTCGAATTTGCGTGAAGAGCGACGCAAGTCGAGATCCAAAGCGAGTGGAAGCCAGAATGGCGGACGTGACGATAAAGAAGAGGATTATGAAGAATCCTGCACGTAGACGAGAAGGCAGCGCCAGGATGTTCGGAAGCAGGGCGAGAGGCGCCCGGTAGCCAGTAAATGTTTGGTTTGAAGTCAGTGATTGATGATGGTGAGACGTGTTGATCTGCAAGGGTCTACTAGTACAGTACTTGTACAGTACCGTACTGCACGAGTATCCGCCCCGCGAAATCTGGGGTCGGGCACCCAACCGAATCACGGGAAGAAACCTCACGAGAATCGTCCACGACAATAAAACCAGCCACGGGCCAGTCTATGAACTGTTGGAACCCATCAAGCATACAAGGCGCAGAGTCACGTTCATGCAGCTTATGAACTGCGTACGACTACCTCTGCGATCGCCCGGATAGCGACAGCCATTGCAAACCCGGCACTCCCCATTTTGAAGAAGCCTCTGCCAGCTCATTCAGCCCCAATGGGTCACTACAGCTCCAGAGCGAATAAATCTTTGAAGCCGCTCCATGAGCACTATGAAGTAGCATTTCTTTGCTGTCCCCGGTTGGCTCACGAACTTGATCGCAGATATCTGTAACTTTCGGGGGCGCGTTACTATTCCCTGTTTTAGTCTTTTCTTAAATCGCGGTGTATGGCTCTGCAACCGGAACTTCCAGGCGTTAGCAAGTGGCTGATGGGTACTTGGTCTACTGTGATGATAAAGAATGCACCGCACATAGAAGAGCAAGTCAGCTCTGTAAAGACTGTCATTTTGCTAAAAGAACGATTGCCCTCCGCGCTTAAGAAACCGGAGTTTTGAGTTATTACTCATTCCATCATCCTATTTGTACCAAACGGATTCAACCATCTTCCACACGACCGCTGCATTGTGTTCCTCGGTCTTTTCCTTCTCGCGCCAATGTGAATTATATCCGTAAGCCGCTCAGCTAAAGAAATTTTAGCTTCAGTCCATATATTCGCAAGGGTCAGAGTCCACGTACCAGCAGTTGACGGCACATTCTTGTCCGCAAGGCACACACTCACATGCGCCAATACCGTCCGAGCACTGTTCAATGTCAACTTCTTCTGTTGCAAAACTTTCTCCAATTCTTTGAATTGTCATCCATCACATACAGAGAACTGTCCATCTGGGCAGCAAGATTTGCCATCGCCACCTGGGCAACCAGCTGCCACAAAGGTTGCCGCGAAGGCAAGAATAATCATGGCGAAACGCATTTTGGAAGGCTTGTGTAGGTTGCTTGACTTTATTGTTCAGAGAATTTTGGAAGGCTTGTATAGGTTGCTTGACTTTATTGTTCAGAGGACTTTGGAAGACTGAATCGCGCAATAGCTGGTGCTTGCTATGCCATCACTTTTATATTTATCCGGAGAACTCATGATGCCTATCATCTACGTAGCAGCCTCCTATATTATGACGATCATTACGTGAGCTTCGTATCCAAAGCATGCTCACAGTACATCAGGTAACTATCTTTAAAAAGCCAATTGGCTCGTAAGTCCGAGGCTAAGGTCTACAGCATCTAAGAAAAGAAGCTTCATCCACAAAGCTTGTCTACTTGAGCGCTATGCGGTTCCTTCTAGCATGTAGCAAAGCCAATTGGCGACGCTATACCACTTGAGGCCCAATCTTACTCAGACTGAGCACTGAAGTCATTAGCTTCTCCCATCTGCCTGAATGCAATTGGTGTCCATCCAGTTCTGCCATCACATTGGAATGCGCGACCGTACGTAAATTGCCTTGTAGATCCTCTTACTTGCAGATGATCGGCAGCTATCTTTGGGCATCCGACGGTCGAATTATACGAGCTTTGTGCCTAGTCATTGTGTCAAGCCAGTGTTTCCAAATCAATTCGGCGATCGACCCGAGCTGAGAACTTTTATTTTGCTGACTGCTGTCTTCAACTATCATCTTCATATACATGCGGGATGCCTGCCTGCGAACTGCCAACCGCTTTGAACGCCGCGAGTCTTTCTTGGAAGCTTCCATCTTGGAGCCTTGAGACAGACATTACGATCTTTGACCTAGCGCTCACGGCTGCTGTGATGATTTAATGATGATAAAGCCAGAGGCGAGAACGAATTACTCTTTGGATGACGACGAAAGGGTAGGCGAAGTTGAGCACCTCTGCCTAGACGCTGAAACTCGCCATAGGGATTTGTTCAAATTCAAATCGTTTGAATATTGTTTATCTAATATCGTCTATTTCTTCGTTCTGACGAAACGACAAAACACAGTGTGTTCACGTCGCTCGTAGCGTGTGGATTTGGCAACCACTATGGCCAAGCGACTATAATTCGATATAAAACTTCCGAGGATTGTTCCCCAGAGCATTGTTGAAACTTCATAGTGGGGAAAGATGCCTTTACTTTGGGTCAAAATAGAATATGTAATTCCCAGTTCCCGGTTTCGTGCCGCCCAGTCGTTGCACATGGCCCATAACTAGTGTTAGCTTTTGGGTCTGTTATGCACCTTTTCGGCCTCTTAATGATGTCTATAGCCAAGAAATACTACCAAGTACTGTTGGCACAAGGAATATGCACTTCTATTGGTACTAGTGCGATCTATTATTCTGGTAAGGCGTCATGCTTCATTGCAATTGTTCTAACATTTTATAGGAGTTACTAGCGTTAGCACCTGGTTTGAGAAGAACTGAGCTCTTGCACTTGGTGTTATGAGCAGTGGATCAAGTCTTGGTGGCATCGTCTACCCAACCATGATACGTGGCCTAATTTCACGCCTTGGATTTGGCTGGACGGTGCGGAGTATAACATTCTTGATGTTCATTCTGCTTATTATGGCCAATATGATAGTCACGTCTTGCTCAAGGCTTATACGGAGTCCTGTTTGCCTTGCCCAGTTTATGGCTCCATTTAGGGAGTATCCATTTGGCCTTGTATGTCTTGGAAGCTTTCTATTTTGTTCCGGAATGTTTCTACTATTTAACTTTATCAGCGTCCAAGCTGAGGTATTTGGAATGTCAGCCGCTAATACCGGCTATCTTGTAGTTGTCTTAAATGCCGTAAGGAATGTATACTGAATTGATACAAGTCCTATCTATACTAACAGATTATAGTCTTTTCGGCCGTATTACAGGGCTATATAGCCGATTGCATTGGTCGATTTAATATTGTTATCATTGCTACAGCAGCTTCTAGTATTTTAGTCCTCACTCTTTGGCTGTTGTCGGCAAATGGAGTTCATCTGTTTGTATTCGCTGGCCTGTACGGATTATTTGTAAGCACGTTCACTTCACTTGCTCCCGCTCTTATAGGTCAAATATCTATCACGAGCCAGACCGGAACGAGAATTGGTGTGCAATCGGCTGTCATATCTTTGTCTGTTTTATTAGGAAGCCTAATTGGCGGCCAACTTATAGAACTTTGTCATAAAAGTTTCGTAGGGTTGCAAGTATTTACCGGTGTAGCAATGCTTATGAGTTCTTATGTTTTCCTTGTCGCAAAGTGTAAATTAGGTCAGGGCATTATATCAAAAGATTGATAAATATATATTAGTTATACGGAGCTTTAGGTCTAGAACGCCATAAGATCTTTTATATTGATTTCACTATATATTACGAGATATCCAATTTGCGATTGAAAAAGCTAGTATAATCACGAGAATTAATGCTGCTTCGAACTCCTTAGGCTTCGTACTAGTGGAGGTTAAGTGCCGCGACAGGTAAGAATCCTAGTATGAATTCGCATTATATTCTTCACTGCATGTTGTCATCAAAAGAGCGAATATCATCAGTGAGCCCTAGACACGAAAACTGTAATTGTGGGGGGGATCTAAGAGACTAATTCGATGACGATGACGAAGTGACATGGTCGACACCTAGTATGGAACAAAACTGATTCGTCTAACGCCTTTCAACTTTGTTCCCCCTAAATTCCCTGACTCTCAAGACTTTTATACCTGATTCCCTGGCGAAATAAACGACAATTAATCCATTCCAAAAAGGAGGATTTCTTGGTTAACTTCTTCAAGAGAGTTGGGGAAATATCGGCTCGAAGTCGCTGAGACTGACAATCTCCGTCTTCTGCGGGGCATTATCCAGAAATCCACCCGTTCATCTCAAAACAGCATGCGTACTTACTTTATATTTTCGTAAATATAACATAAGGCTTGCTAACGGTGGTGGAAAGAGTGGTTTGATAGGAAAAATCACGATGCCATTCCAACTCCGTTCCTTTGGTATAACCAAAGAACGGATAAATAGGATATTCCAAGGAAGAAAAGCCTATGGTAGGACGACAGTCGCTAAAGACATACATTCATAGAAGAGATTAATAGAGGAAGTGGTAGTCTCAGATGGCCCTGGAAGTGGATTTATTGCTAAGTTACAACTCCAAATTTGGACTCACTCCAATAGGAGCCGAAACTAGTATCCAACCCGTATTTAATAAGTTATAAAAGAGTTCTTTAGGCTTCCGTTTTAGTGAATCAAGCTTAGAAAAGTAGCAAGTAACGCTTATAACTTCAACAATTAAATAGTAATAAATTAATACCTTTAAAATAACAAATAATAACTTAAAGCCGCCAGTTGTAATTACTTAATAAGTCTCTAACTATAAGATCTATTACTCAGATTTCTTATAAGGCGTTGGGTTCTCATATTAAATTCAAGGTGTTTTTTTATCACGTATTTTGAAATCGAACGTAATGCGAACACGATACACCAGAAAGACCTTGCTAGAGCGTGCTTGGCTTTTGGCTTGTCCCGGAATGTTCTAGAAGCCAAGACGTTACAGCCTGAGGAATAAATTTAGTCACCAAGGCACAGAATTTTCTCGCGGTAACTATATTTATGATCCAAAGGGAACGCACGGCATAACATATCCATAAGTCAATAAAAGAAACAACCAGCACCTAAATCCATATATTTAATCCAATCCGACCCTCCAAAGGGAATGCGAAACAATACCAAATCAAGATCCCATATCAACAAGTCCTGGCAGAAATGTCCTCTTACTACGATCCTGTTCCCGCATGACTGAGACTAAAGGTATAAGTGCTCCACGTCGACCCCGCCTTTGAACTCAGAAATGAACTCCTTGCTCGCGGTAATAGTCCTCCGAATATAAGAGAAACATACTCGGCTCTTCTCCTTCTTAGCCAAGGCCTGTACTATAGCCATAATATTCTTGATCTAGAGTCGATTATAAGCCAAGAGAAAGAGAAACATGCCACAAGAGACTCTTACCTGCCTGCTATTGAGCTTGGTACTAACTAAACACTCCAACTTCGCATTACTAATCCTCGCTCCTCTTTCAGACATATTCGCTATTATAATAAACTATTTCCAGACCTTCCTTCCCGAATCCTTGGTCAAATTGCCGTATCTCAATATAACGTGGATTCTGCTAAGGATTACTGGATCAAACTTAATAATACGGTTTATTATAAGGAATATAATCCCCTTATAATATTCTAACTTACGGAGGAATACCGAGACAAGGCTATTACGAATCAGATTCTCCGATATCCGTTACTCGAGAAAGATATCTGCTTTATCCAGGAGAAGAATAGTATTCTAATAGCTAGTAATCTTGAAAATACAAAAAAGTTATATTTCGAGCTTGGCTATATTAGTTAATAATTCCCTAGTAGAAATCTAATAGTTAGACCAGGCTTTAGAGACATAAGACAGTAAAACATATTAAATAAAGAGATTATTTCAGGAGCTTAGATACTGTCTCTACTATTAAGGTCTTTTCTAGTCCGGGCCAGCCACTTTCGTATATTAGTATAATTAATATAAAAGAAATAATCTAGAGCTATATTATAAGAGAATATTAAGTCTTCTTTCCTTTCCTATAATAATATTATTAAATACTATACCAGGGTTACTATAAGTCTTAACTAGAATTATAATAATATCTCTTTATATATCGGAAATTAATAAATAATTAAAAGGTAAGGACAACTATTTAATATCTTTTATATTAGTAATTACAAACTCTATTATATCTTAAATTAGCCTAATATCCTACTAAATTATATAAGATATAGATTTATTTTATATCTTTTTACTAAAACTAAAACCTAGTATAGTTAGATAATAAATAAATAAATTCCTTTCTATAAGCTCGGTTAGCTTAATACTATTACTCTTAACTATAATATAATATAACTATTCCGGAAGTAGCTAACTTGGTCTTATTATATTTAGATTAATATATAGTCTAAAATAATTAGAATTTATTTTCTAGAAAAAGTCGAAATTAATTATTATTCGGCTATTAATAAATAATTATATAAGATCTCTATTATTTATATAAAATGCTTTCCCTTAATAATAAATAAGATAAACTTCTAACTATATTTAATAATATTAGCCTTAATCTGTTTTTTGTTTTAATAGTATTTAAGAAGAAAAGCTCGAAATATATTAATATACTTTATCTTATAGAATTTTAAAAAAGTAAGATTAATAGATACTATATTAAACGTTTTACTATTAAAATCAAGATATTAATATATTATACTAAAATACTTCTTTTCTAATTACTTTTCCTTTTTTCTATAGAATTATATATAATATATTATAGCTTTTTAGTATTAAAATATATTATATAAATTAAGATATTTGGCTTAAATAATAGTAAAAGCAAATTATATATAATCTTATTATAGTTTAGAAATAGAAAGAGATTTTGAAATATTAATATATAGATTATTTTAATATAGTTAATTAATAAATTAAAGTATTTTATAAATATTATCTTAGTAATATTAGCCTAAATATAACTTTAATATAATTCAAGTTCCGAGAGGTAATAATAGAATAAATTTTACTTAATTTATATTAAGTTAGTTATTAGGTATTTTTCTCTAATAAGAAAAAGAATATATAATAGACTTATTAATTATTAGATTAATACTATAAATATTATAGTATAATAAATCGTATTTTCTAAAAATTATATTATTTTAGCGGTTTTAAGATTTTAATTATATAATAAAGGCTATAGCCTTTTATATATAACTTATAGGAATTATAAAAAAAAACTAGTTTTCTATAATTTCAAGAAATAATTTCTTTTAAATATTTAATTAAATAAGCTTTTATATATTATATATTATTTATATTTTATTATTTATATTTTATTATTTATATTTTATTATTTATATTTTATTATTTATATTTTATTATTTATATTTTATTATTTATAATTTTATTATTTATATTATTTATATTTTATTATTTATATTTTATTATTTATATTTTATTATTTATATTTTATTATTTATATTTTATTATTTATATTTTATTATTTATATTTTTAATCTTATTATTTTATTATTAAGTTATGTTTTATATTCTAGTATACTTTATATAAGTTTTTGTTTTATTATAGTTTCTCTTTTATACTAAATAAATAAATATTTTTTGAGAGTCTAAAGAAAATTAATTCTATATCTATAAGTAATTAAATACCAAATATATTACTTATTAGAAAAAAAATAAAAAAATAAATTATAGCTATATATTATTTAATATATTAAGGGTAATTACTTATAATTAGAAACGAGAAAGTAAAGAAAATAAAGTTTTTCAGAGAAATCCGATTTTTAAATTACTTGTTTAGCTAATTAATATTTATTAAAATTCATAAAAAATAATTAGCGAAAAATGCCCTTATAGTAAATATAATAGAATTTAAACTTATTTAAACCCTTTATAACTTTATTAAGAGTTAAGCTTCTATCTTAATTAATATTTCTCTTTTTATATAATAATACTTTTACTTATATATCTTGAAAAATATTAATAAAATTATTAGAATTATATATTATTTCGCTAATATTCTTTTTATTTTATTAAATAAAAATATGGCTTCTTATAAAACTTATTATAATAAGAATATCTAAGGAAGCAAATATCCTATATATAATATAAATAGCTAAGTATTAAATAATTAAGTATTAAAGAAATCAAGTATTACTTTAGAGATAAATAAATCTGGGTTTTAAATACTAGCTATTTATTATTTATTAGAAGTACTTGATTAATTATTTTTAGGTAAAAAAAAGAATTAAGCTAGAGATTCCAAGATTATTAAACCTATTGTTTTTTTTCTTTCTTTTATAGTAATAAATATTACTATTTCGGAAAGCCTAGAAAGATATCTATAATAAATATTTAGGCCCTATACAGGTTATATTAAGCTAATAATAAAATGTCTTATACTTTTATTTATGGCCCCGTTATTTATATATAAAATGAAATATAATACTATATAATTCGCTTAGTAAGCTAATAGACCTAGTATATTTAAAAAAAAAAAAGCACTTAATAAAAGAAGGAAACAGAAAAGAATTAATAGCTCAGGTTATTTCTATAATAGTATATTTAGGTAGTTCTTATCTAATATTAAGTTACTTTTCGTCTAATATTAGAAAATATAAAATAACCTCTTTTTCCGAATATTAATTAGAGATTATATTAACCGAAATTAGTAGATAAT